TCATTGCCAAGATGGCAGCCGATCCTCTCCCTGAAGCGGTCGCAGTGACCGTCTTTATGGTAAGTCTCCGCACTGGCGTGGCCAGAATGGAAGTCTTCAGTGTGCACCCATCTTCTTTTGAAGAAGCAGAATGTGTAATTGAATGCCAAATTCAGCTTTAAGTCGGCACGACTTGGTTGAAATTTACACCCTCATAGCTCGTCGAGCGGGCCTGAGCCAATGGATCTCAGCTATCCTGAGAAGGAGGAGAGAGAGCTTGAGCTGTTGAACAGCATGTAGACATCACACAGTGTTTTGTTTGTGGACACACCCGTCACCTTCGGGCGGGTTGTCTCTTGCGCAATGCGTGTCAATGTTCGTCGAACCGACGTCCCGCTTCTAACCGGTCTGGTTTGACGCGAAGAAACGAGAACACCCAGTAGGCGCGGGGCTGCCTACTGGAGGCGAACTTAGTATTGCTGAGCGTCAAAGAGGTAGAGGACCGCAAGGCGCAGCCCCGAAGAGCTGCGTGTTCTTGAACACGGAACGTGTGTGCAAGCCGAGCTTGCAGATCGTAAAAGCGACCGTGAAGGGCTTTGATAAGCCATGGAAAATCCTTATCGATTCTGGTGCTTCGGGCAATTATAATCGACGCACCACAATCGAAAAACAAGTTTGTTGCATACTGAGGCGCTGGAAGTGCGGTTGAGTAACACCGTCACTGTTCGCTTAAAGATGGGGACTTGTGTCACTGTAGCGAGGGTCCCTGTGGACCTCGGAGTCAAGTTTCTTGACTTTGATAGCGTGGAATGCTGTCTAGTCTTAGACTTGAATGCAAGGTATGGCCTTATCCTTAGAACGGCATGGTTGAAACACCGTGAGCCATAGATTGATTGGAGGTCAAAGACCTTGGGCGCTACGCGCACGCCTCCTAGTGGAGCTTTGGTGAGTCATGAACCCACCTCTGGTAAGAAGTAGAAGCGCTATTGGCGCGTGCACTAGACCAGGCCGGTCAATGTGCTGGATATCGGAGTATCCGAGTTGTCAGACACCAAAGGTGTTACAAGATTCTTGAGCGTGGCTCGCGGGCTAAACGTGGAGTGTCACGTAGCCCACTGAGCAATGCTCACGTTACGAAGCAGTTGCTTCGTGCAAAGAATGGCATGGTCGGACGAGGTCCGAAGCATCAAAGCCGAGCCCCTTGTGATGTGCGTGGCGTGGCACGTTATCTACTGGACGAAGAGTGTAGAAATAGCAGTCCTTCGTCGGATGTTGTTACTAGCATCAAGGCTCCGATGGAGCAGGAAATGGACGACGCCGAGTGCCTTTTCCTACTGGTCTCGATGAGACATAAATCCTCGATAAAGAGAAGACGGTGATGCCGTATATTATCTTTAAGACGCAGAGCGTTGACCCTGACCCAGGGTGTGTCTACCGTGACGTATAAATTGCCTTGTTCGGTCTTACAACATCTGCTAAATTGCCTACTTTCAAGCACCGCTAAAAACTTCGAGGGACATCTCGTTCAGCTCAAAACGAGCATCTACCGCGAAAATAGCCTCGAGACTGACGTCGCCGTCATCTTCTCCCGTCATACCGATGACAAGGGTATATAGCTTTGCGCTATCTTCTGTCGCTTATGGATGAAGCTGTCCTGGAAGACACCAAGAGAGTGATAATCGCACGAAGTGAATCATCGATCTTGAAGGATCCTTCGGATCCGTATTATCCTTTGGTAAAGGAATTCCAAGACGGCGTCTCCAAAGACCCGCCATCGGTCCTACCTCCGCACCGAGGTGTGTGTCATGAGATTGACCTGGTTTCGGGAACCAAATACTGCGTAACACTCCAATGGCCCCTGCCCAAGTAGTAGTGCGACGTCATTGACGCATTTTTCCGTACAAAGCACGATGCAGGAATGGTGCGTAAGAGCAAGTCACCCCATTTGTCACCCACGTTTTGTGTCCGGAAGCCGAACGGCAAGTGGCGTATCGTTCCCTCTTATAATAAGCTAAATACTGTTACCATTTCGACACAGACGCTAATTCATAAAAAAATGTTCTCCAGAACAACACAGTTGGCTGTGCAAATTACAGCGCAGTCGACTTGGTCGATGATTTCTACCAATTGCACAAAAGAGCAAAAGATATTCCACTGACAGCGGTGAGTACTCCGAGCGGGATGCTGTGGGAGCGGCTGGTTATGCTCTAAGGGCTGTCAAATGCACCAGTAACATTTAATCGTCTTGTGACGCAATTGTTTAGGCTCCACTGGGCATATGCATAGACATACTTCGATGACATCTTTTCCACGAAAACCACATCGTCCATTTGAGATCGGTGCTCGAGTGCATGCGCACAAATAAGCTGTATGCTAATGCAGACAAGTGATCTTCGGCGCCGAAGAACTTCCATTTTTAGGATGCTTCATTGGAAAGCGTGGCTTTTGAGCGGAATGCGCTAAGGTCAAGGCCATGAGGAACGGCTGGTTCCAAAGAGCCAAAAGGACTTGCGCAGGTGGCTTGACCTCGCCAACTTCATGCACAAATACACCGAAAAGGCACGGCCGTTGTGGAATCTTCTTAAGAAGGATGCGGAAAGGTGGTGGGGCACCGAGTATCAGGACGCTTTTGACGGGGTCAAAGACGTCCTCCTTCATGCACCAGTACTGGCGTTGCCAGACTACGATCCCATTTTGTGTCGTCTGTGATGCTTCAGACTTTGCCATCGACTGTGCTCTGCTGCAAGCAGACGCCGAGGTGAGATCAGGTGATCGCGTTCAAATCTCGCCAACTTAAGACTGTGGAGAGGAACAGCCTAATCTTCGACAAAGAATTACTTGCGATGAATATGCACTTGTCAACTTCAGGGTGCAATTGCTTGGCTCAAAACCGTTTGTGATCTACACATATACGTACTGCACCTCAGTCGCCTCACCTCTCGCAGAGGATGGCCGGGCAGCTCTGCTTATTCGCAGATTATAACTTCGAGGTAAACTATTAGCCAGGAAAGCGGAGTGCTTTGGCCGATGCGTTGTCACGCAGACCGGATTATGAGCTCGCTCATGTGCGCCGTGTACGCGGGTGGTGCTATGTGCGTGGCGCTGCTACAGGCTCTCAGGAGCAAGGATATTTGGAAACTCGGACACGAAGTTATCGTCGCGACTGCGTCCGCACGGTAGCACCGATATCCATTGAATGGTGAATTGCTGTATTATAGCACCGGTTTGAAGGATACGCCACGAATTGTGGATCTTCACGATGAAGTACCGTATCCTAAGTACCGTATCCTCTATGAGGCCACGACACCCCACTCAGTGGTCATCTCGGTCGTGAGAAGTCGTACAGCTTGGTGAGCTGTCACTATTGGTGGCTCAAGCTGTACAAATGGACGAGCACATGTATGTGCACGTGTGAGACGTGACAAAGGGTGAAGCCTTACCCGAATACATGGCCGCCGCTGGCCAGTTTGCCGGCTCCCTCCGTTTGTTGGCAGTCCATGAGTTTGGACTTTGTGTTTGGCCTGCCGAAGGACTCAGCGGGCAACACGGGTGTCGTGGTCTTTGTGGACCGTTTGAGCAAGATGGCTCATCTTGCGGCAGTGTCGGACATCATTGACGGTGTGGGTACAGTGACGCTGTTCGTCGATCGTGTCTTACGACAGTATTGACTCCCGGAGTCAATTGTTTCTGATAGAGACCAGCGCTTACTGAGAAATTTTGGTCTGCAATCTTCAGGGTGGTGGGCACCAAGTTGGCTATGTCAACTGCGGGCCATCATGGGTAGAATGAGCGCGTGAATCGCGTCGCTGAAAACGTTTTTCGCAGCGTCTTCACTATTTAACAGTCTTAGTTGCGGCAGAGCCGCCAAAAACTAAGACCTTAGGTTTTCCTGATTAATAACGTGATACCTAATTTATATAGTAAAACCTAATTAATATAGTAATATGCATTACTACTTGCAAGATTGCCACGTGGTGGCTTCTTGTTACGGTTACTGTGCATTTACAATAACTGTGTAATACACTCCTATGCATGTAGATTGTGCGACCCGCCCTTTCTTACAACAGCACGTGTAACCCCGTTAAACAGAAGTTATCAGGAGGCTTGTCGATGCATGAAACTCGCTTCAGTCTTCTGACAAAGGTGTTTCCATGACTTGCAAAAAGCTCCACTAGAAGAACGATGCGTGGCAACTAAGTTCCCACCCTCCATACGAACCCGTGACACGTGGCGTTCCAGCCACGCCATATATAGGATGAGATTATCAACAAAATTGGAGTCCAGTACTCGACAACTCTTTACGTTGCCAGAGTCGTTAAAGATACTTGAGAGTTCAACGTAATCTTTGACATCGTTACCAGTATACCAGTCGCAAATCGCACGAATATATTGTATCCGTATTTGATTGAGTGGCAGTGTCTACTGCATTTAAAAGTCGCGCATCGTACGTGATTGCAAATCTATCAGGAGGACTTTTCACAGCTTCACAAAGCCCAAAATGTCATTACTAAAACCAACAACACCACCTCCCTTAGACAGAGTTGCTTTCTTTATGGCTGATATTTATTGAGCACGACCTAGAATAGGTACAATAGACCCCAGCTCTTTCCTAATAGGTCGCGAAGCGCCTACTGGGACTCAATGGTTCCCCGTATGGGTTCTTCGGACGTTCCGGTAGAAGAGCCCGACTTTCGTACCTCTCATTCGAGATAGAAGAAGGCATGCAAAGCGCAGATGCATCCTCACGTAATGCTGAACAGCTTAGAGATCTTTCATTTCTTCCTCAGCATGGCTAAGGCTTATTGTTTCTTTCGCGCTATTCATGCATAAACGTTGCTGCTAGATTTCTTTAGACGACACGTACAAGTTTCTGAATATCTTTACTAATGAAGCTGTTTAAGAATAAGGACAGAGGTGTATACATGATTGACCCTGTCGCCTACAGTCTACTTTTGTAAAGTTTATGACATTTTCGGGCAGCAGCAAGAAAAACAGTTTAATGATGACGCGTTCTTTATTACCTAAATACTTTCTTCATATGGCGCCAATTTGATTGGAGGCTCCAAAGGGGGATCCAAATAGTCAAAAGAGTCGCGACGTCGCTTGCGGCCGAAGTTCTGGCGCTCGATTTGCCATGCTCGAGCAAGCTCATTGAACTTAAACAGTTTGTTGGTCTCCATGATTTCCGCATTCAGCGGGCGAGCGTAGTTTGCTCGCGTAAAAACAGTACCACTTGGTACAGCAGTCGCTGGGATCGACAAGATATCCCGGGCGAGCTTTGCTAGAGAAGGAAAGCGCGTTTCATTCGACTTCCACCATAAAAATGGATCTGACCGCTTGTCGCGAAAGAGTGTCGCATCAAAGAATCGATCTACTTCGTCACCGTCGATCGAGTACTCTGGTATACCCTCTCCAATATCTAACAACTTTTCAAACGTTGTGTAAGCCGCCGATGCATCGTGTCTTGCTTGCTCGTCGTCTAATCGTGTGTCTGACAGTACATCATACACACTTGTACGCAACATTTCCCGCAAAAACGTTTTTTTGGCTGCTTTGTCCACGCACTCATTGGAAAAGCGCGGATCTAAAATCTTGGCAAGCCGAAAATACGGTGATGAGTGCTCCGTATGGTATGACTCAAGACTAGCTTTCACTTTTAAGCAAACTGTTTGTATCTTGTTGAAGGCGCTTGCCGTAAAATTAGAGGCTGATGCCGAAGTGCTTTCACAAAGCCCGACAATCGCCTTACAAACATTAATGGAGGTGCTCAGCGAGATATGCTTCTGGTCGCTTTGACAAGTCGCCATTTGCATGCATTTTTGAAGAAACGTAGCTACCCATACCAGCAAATCCCACTCAATCTCTTCCAACAAGAAAATGTTCATATTGTGCGTAGGATCTCCATACAAGGCGTTAATTGTGTCCTTAATCTTGGCGCTTTCCAAAATCATTGCAACAGTTGTCTTCCAATTTTTAGGTGAATCTAAATTAGGCAGCTGATCTGGATACTCAGGCAGCCCCACATCAGTTGTACGTAGCGCAAAATGCTCCTGACTTTCGGATGTAGACTTAAGAAGTGACAATAACGAACGAAGCTTAACGATCTCGTGACGAATCTCCTTCAGTGCCGCCAGTACGCCCGTATGAATTAGATGGCCCAGGCACGTCACATTCCAGTCCGGTGCACTACTATGAAATCCTATAATTGACTTTATTTTCTCACGCAAAAAGCCCATGCCAACTCCCGACTCGTTACTCAAGGGTGTGACTCCGCACAACAACTTATTACCCAGTCCCCAGTTATTCTGAAGCACATTAAATAGCATGTCTGACAAAAAGTATGCATTAAAGTCCTGTGGACACCCTTCCAAACCAATTTGAATAGTTTTATACTCCCACTCAGCATTAATCCAGTGCAAATAAATGGCCATATATCCTTTATTCACAGATCCAGACCACGTATCACACGAGAATGTGACGCGTCCAACCGCCGAACGATTTATATATTCCCCCACTCGCGTGAACAAATCGTAATATTTTCGTTCGATAGCTTTTTGCAAACTATCTACTGGTGGGAGTATCGGCTTGATTCCTGCGGAAGCCAGTACGTCCAAAAACTTTTCGTTCTGCACCACACCCAGGTCCTTTTGGTCTTCCACAATCCACTCAATCAGCGCACTACTCAGATTTCGCATCCGCTGACGCTTCAAACCTGGGCGCACCACGAAGCAATTCCACGCATTAACTTCCACAATAATCGATCAGCAAACTTCGTTGAATTAGTACCTGCTGTATGTTCATCAAGCTGTATCACGACTGCTTCTTTCCTATGAGCTCCTACTTTCTTACCTGTTCCATTTCCATTAACCAATGATCCATTAGCGCTCTTCTTGCCCTTCTTGCCCGTGGGCGTGCCATTTGGGAATTCGTTATGTCGCCTAGCATGTCGCATCATCGACGATGTGCCATGCCTCGTACTGAAGATCTTGCTGCAAATTGAGCACTTGGCTGAGTCAACAAGGCCGTCACGCAATCCACTACTTGAAATGGGTGTAAAGGTTTCCCACACGACACTCGTAAGCTTCTTTTTGCGTACCGCCTCTTCTTTAAATACCGGTGGCATAATATCTAGTCGATTAAGCAGATTATCCGTGATGATAATCGATTCTGCCCCTCGCAGTGCCAGCACGTGGAATGTCCAGCTGTCCTACACTGTGATCAAGGAGCTACGCTTGCTCCTCGTCTCTGATAGGCTGGATTTGGTAAAAATGAATAATGTATTTCGCATCAGTTTACGCACATACAGCCAGGCAGCAATGCGTTAGCAAGAATAGACGTTTTGCAGAGATACTTGGTTACGCACACGTAACTTCAGCCTCGACGTAGCGAATAATTGTTTAGTGAGTTTGGATGTTTTGCAACTTAAAGGTTAGTAGCTTCCTGACGGTCCGCGCCGTCCCCATTGGATAAAACAATATACTTGATAATTGTATGCAAGTGGAATGAGTAGAGCGAACATGTCTGGCACAATCAGTATAGAATCCTCGATTTAATTTCTTAATACATGAGAATTATCCGTCATAGATTCCGAAATAAACTTTTGTTCTTTTTAAGGCATTATTTTTATGATAGATTGCTGGTGGTAACTCAACAGTCTAGTTGCTGTATACTGAAGCATGTACACATTAATTCCCTGAACATTGGAGCTCCAGGTTCAAATCAATAAAGTTAATAACTATATGCTTGCGATTAAGAAAATGATATTTATATTTTAATCGCCACGGTACTGTGGCCCACTCGCTGCTTTATTATCAGTGGCTCATATCAAATTATGAGGGTTTCTTCGACCTTGCTTCTGAGTGTTTATCGTTTTCCGGGAAATTAGCGAATTATGAAGCTTTACAATAATCTGAGTGCAGTCACTATTCCGATTCAGTCGCCGATCTGTTAAAACGAACGTTCAGCAGAACAACATGATACCTTCAGTGATCCGGTCCGAGTATATACTTACTCAACTGCTCACAAGAGTCTCTCACCGCAGTGAGTACTGCGAATGGAATGCTGTGAACTGGCTGGTTATCACACAGAGACTGTCTAAAACACCAGCGACATTTAATCAACTGCAGGTGCGGCTGCTTCGGCTACATTGCACTGCGTACAAAAACCTATTTCAGTCATATTTTTTCATTAACCATGCCTAGCAGGGACAATCAGATGTAATAACACTTATGAACAGTGCTCGATTGTATGCTCTGTACTTCTACCATACAGGGCATGCATGTACTCTCACTGCAGCAAATGTAGCATCAAGTCGAGCGGACAAGCTGAATCACCCATTGAAGCTGTCCATCAAATGCATCACGAAAGCGGTGGCATCTTAAAATTTCTTTCGGGTATGAGGCTTCAAACTGGAAATGCAGAGCAGGCGTGGGTGTATTGGTGCTGTGGTATTTTGTCAACCGCAGCCTGCTAGCTTTTGTGACTCAAACTAATAACAGTTATTGTGCGAACTACGCTCTTAAATCAGAAAATTGATGCATTATCATTAGTGTTTGGGCAGCCGATGATGATTATCGAATTGAACAGTGATGCAGTACTTTGCGCCATTACGGTGAAAGCTATATTAGCGCCTTGCGAGAGCGTCAATAGCTTGCATGGGTCTCGTTAGCCAGATTTTTACGAAAGTAACGCGTAGTACTCCATCATAAAGAAGACTCTTGTTTGAGCCGGAACCGTTGAGTCATTGCATTTGTTTAACGGGAGCGGAAAACCGCGTGAGGTACTCCCAAAGAGCAGGCACGATGAATTGCAGAGAGATATCGTGTTCATTGTTCACCAACTCGGATACTCCGATCTTCAGCTCGTTGGCCGCCTCAGTCCAGTGCCCGCACCAACAGCGGTTTTGCCTCATAGCAGAGGTGGGTTCATGACTGACCAAGGATCCAACGAGGGGTGTGCGCGTAGTGCCCAAGGTCTTCGACCTCCAGTCGATCTATGAATCATGGTGTTCCAGCCATGTTAAACCAAGGACGAGGTCATACCTTGAATCCGAGTCTAAGACTAGATAGCGTTCCATGCTATCAAAGTTAAGAAACTTGACACCGAGGTCCACAGGGACCTTCGGCACCGTGACACATGTCCCTGTTGCTTAGCAAACACTAAAGATTAATCGCGCCTTCAGTTCCTCGGCATACAGCTGACTTCCTTCTGTTGTGGAGCGACAACAATAATTGCCTGACGCCCCAGAGTCGACCAGGATCTTCCATGGCTTCTCAAAGCCCTTCTCGGTCGCTTTCACAACCAGCAAGCCCTGGATGCGTATACGTTCCGTGTTCAAGAGCACCGAGCTCTTCGGGGCTGGGCCCTGCTGACCTCTACCTCCTTGAGGCTCAATAAACTCAGTTCTTACCCAAACGGCCGCCCTGCGCCTGCTGGGTGTTGTCGTTTCTCCGTGACAAACCAGACTGGTAAGAAGCGGAAAGTTGGTTTGGTGAACCTCTACGCACCTTGTGCAGGGGACAACAAATCCGAAAGTGACGAGTGTCTCCACTGACAAATCACCGTCGGGTGTTATCGCGCTGCTCGGCAGCTCAGAGCTATGCCTCCTCGTCCTCAGCATAGCTGAGATCTATCGGCTCAGACTCGTGCGACGAGCTGCTAGAGTATGCATCCCAACCAAGTCGTGTCGTCTTAAAGTTGAATCGGCATTCAATACTACATTCACTGTTTCTTCAAAAGAAGACGGATGCACACGGACAAATTTCATCTCTGCCACGCCAGTGCGGAGGACCTCCATATAGACAATCACTGCGGTCGCTTCGGGAAGAGAATCGGCTGCTATACCAGCAATGAGAGTTCGCAACGCTTGGACAACGTTTACCCATGCCTTTTTGCGGCAAGGAAACGCGATCGCATGCGATATGCCTGATTAGGCGGCGAGAACACTCGTGAGAGCTGCAGCTTTAGCCCCGTTCAGGAGGGAAACGCCGCCTCGGCTGATGTTCCGCACATCAATGTCCATTCTCGCGCTCGACCCCCAAGCTTGGAGGTAGCTAACGCTATGCGTTGTTGCTCGGTCTGGAGCATTGTGGGTGTCATGGCCATCTCGACCTCTCTCACCCAGAGCAGGGTATTTTCTCCGTCTTTGCCCTCGAGGATATTGATACTCACCATGAGCGGCTTGGGTCGGGGAGATTCATCCGTCGCCGACGGTGGCGTCATGGACGCAGGCGACGCCGACATCTTCTGCTGCAAGCGCTTTAACAGAGTCCTTACATAGATTGAAACGCGTTCTGCTCGCTTCAGGTCCTTGCGAAGCGAGGTGTTGTACGCCCTCAAAACCAAGCACAGACAACAGCTTTTAAGCTCGTCCCGAGGCAAATAAAAGAACCGCTCCATCTTCACAGAGGGTCACTCGAAACAACTCAGGTGTAGATTGACTACAAGTGCTATCAAGTGCAGCGGGGCTGCCGTAGCTCTTTCGCTTTGAGGAGGCTTTGTCAAGGTCGGTGACCATCGTTCGATACTTAGAACCAGTACGAGTGTAGAGGATCGCAATTCACTTATTCCAAGAGTACGTAACCAAAGGCTAGTTAACTCTTTCGTTAGAACATAAACTGTATTTCTAGGTTTTATTTGCGGCAAAGCCGCCATATCTAAATTTATATGTTTTCCTATCTATGTTGTAAACCCTTATTAAATGTATAACTACTAGCAGTCCAGCCACGTATGGATTTGCTGTCTAAGTGCAGCCACACCGTCTTGTGTGACCCACACCCTTCATATCAGGGCACGAGAAATCCCGTTACAAACTCGATCACGCGATATTTGTAAATTTGGAGTTGATGGACATTTGAAAGCACGGGACGGACTGGCGCATGGGCATGTCGAGTGGTGAGTGATAACCAATTTACCGATATTAAGCGATCTTACGGGTCAGCCACATGCATGTCCAGGTGTAAGGTCGTGTCAAATGACCGACACACACAAAATGCTCATACAAAACCAAAACTAGCCACCCTTTAGGTGAGGTATCTTGTATTCGTATATGCACCTTTATATCCACGAGCTCAATTATTTTTTTGGATTGGTCTACTGTTTTCACGCCAAAAGTTTTCATATCATCGTCCACTAGCTTGTGAAATGACGTCCTCGATTGCAATGCAAAAGCGAAACCCTTAGGAGGACACACAAACGGCATATATATACCTGGATAAATCGCGCGTATTTTTACCGAAAGACTTCAAGTATTAAGATATTGTAACTCAGTCCGTCTTTCGTTTGTCGACCCTAATAACAAATAATTTTCCGGACTAATGCGACTGACTGAATTTGAGCTGTCCTTATGACAGATAAAATCTTATTTGCAATACGGACACTGGGCACCACCCGAGATGGCTACAGCAGCTATTGATTTTGCCAATTGTATGATACATATTACACTTTTTATATTGAATAATATAGTAATTAGTGAATTATACTAAAATACTTCAAAGATATTTTTCTCAACGTCACGTCAGATTTCACGACAGCTTCAACCAACCGGCAACGGAAATAGAAACACTTCGCAATAATCTTCTTGCTCGTAACCGTCCTCTAATGACTTTATTTCAAAATGTTTACATTGTGGCGGCCAAGCGCACACCATTTGGCAACTACGGCAGCAAGCTTAAAGATATCACAGCCACGGAGCTATGCGCGCACGCAGCCAAGGCAACGCTAGCAGCTGCCAAGCTGGATCCAACACTTGTAGATACGGTGCAAGTGGGCAACGTAGCACATACTTCTCCAGACGGTACCTACATTGCGCGCCACGTGCAGTTAATGGCTGGTATCCCACAGGATAAACCTGCGCTTACTGTCAACCGATTGTGTGGTAGTGGCTTCCAGTCTGTTGTGGGCGGCATGCAGGAAATCCTTCTTGGCGACGCTGAAATTGCGCTCTGTGGTGGTGCTGAGAACATGTCACAGAGTCCGCTGGCCGTCTACGGCCACCAGGCACGTTTTGGCGTGAAACTGGGCGCCGGACTGAACCTGCAGGATACGCTTTGGTCGGCGCTTACCGACTCTTATTCTAAAACGCCCATGGGCATAACGGCCGAGAACCTAGCTGACATGTATAACATTACACGTGAGGAATGCGATGCCTACGGGCTTCGAAGCCAGAATCGCTGGGCTGAAGCGCATGCTGCCGGCTGGTTTAGCAACGAGATAGCGCCTATAAAGGTGACAGTCGGACGGAAGATCGAAGAGTTTGCTGTGGACGATTCTCCCCGCACGGTAGACATGGAAAAGCTGGCTAAGCTGAAGCCTTCATTTAAAAAGGATGGAGTAGTCACAGCAGGCAATGCGTCTGGTATCACAGATGGTGCTGGTGCAGTCCTTATTGCCAGTGAAGATGCTGTGAAGAGGCACAATCTGACACCCTTAGCGCGAATTCTGAGCTATCAGGTGTCAGGGGTAGACCCGACAATTATGGGAATTGGCCCCGTACCCGCCATTACGGGGGCATTGAAGCGTGCAGGGCTTAAAAAGTCAGACATTGACATTTATGATATAAATGAGGCCTTTGCCGCTCAGTGGTTAGCCTGCGTCAAAGAGCTAGAGATTGACCCGGATATCGTGAACCAATGTGGCGGAGCTATCGCTCTCGGACACCCACTGGGCGCTACGGGATGTCGCATCACGGGGCATCTTGCACATGGTTTGAAGCGCACAGGTAAGAAATACGCGGTCGGATCAGCTTGCATAGGTGGCGGACAGGGAATCGCGGTCGTGCTGGAGAATGCAGCATGATTCTGGAAGAGAAATCAGAATCGAAATTTCCAATTGTGCTATAGCTGCCTGGAAACATAAACCTTACCTTTTATTATGTTGCTTGCAAACACTAAGCGCAGAAGAGCTTAATGTGAGGTTCTAATTCGCGTGAGATCAAATAATTAAATTTAGCGCTCAAAATATATTGCGCAAATATTTAACCACAAACTGGGTAATGGAAAATGTGGGCAACTGGGATAAGGTCTCAACATATTTTTGAGATCTATTGATCTTCCTCTGATCTCCTCGGCGAGATTCAGATGTAACGCTGGACATAATATCAACCTATGGTGAAATCTATCTCTATCATAAGGGAATTGAAGCGATTAAGCAATCTTCGTCAATCGATATTCTGGTAAATTTACTTGACAATATTTACAGCTTTGCTTAAACAGTATTCACGATTACGTCCTCGATTTAAATAGTTCGAATGTCTTTTCTGATTTCTGCCATTTTGTCGCAAGAACTCCATCAGCTCGCGACTGATTTTGTGTGACCAAACTGAAGATTGCTTGGAAAGATGTCATTTGAGGGGATGGATATATGGTTGTTGACAAACTGCACAGACGTGTCAAGAATCGCATTACTCAATTTTTTGGCAAGCAAATGCGCCTTTACGGTCTTATCTCGTGTAGCTTATTGATCCCCGTTCTTGCAGCACGAAACGGCGCGAGACTACGTGCAAATTTAGCGAAAAGTGGCTTGGGGACTCGAGTCATGGAGGCCAACAGTCTGCAGGCTGGAACATCTGTCAGATTTTTGAAAGGAATGAAAAAACGTGCTGGGACATCTTTCAGATTTTTGAAAGGCAAAAAAAAGTCGGACGATGATGATTCAGATGACGATGATGACGATAACGACGATGATGACAACGATGATGACAACGATGATGACGATTCCTGCTAACTAAGATAATTCAGCTTATATTCTGCTTATAAGTGTGGTAAATTACGTTCATTAACTTTAGCTCAATACATAGTTTGGCAAGGTTTTTCCAATCCTTTTGTAAATTTATTCAGATCGAGAATGTTTCGATCAATTTTTCGCAGTGTGTCATCAAATGTAGATTACATGTTTGCATTCGAGTATCTTGGCAACCTAGAATTCCACCCAAACAGGAGGCAAGTTGTGCTTTTTAAAGATAGCGAGCATGAAAATGTTTATTCAGATTTGCCGCAGACACGTCGGTTAAATTGCTATAAAACAATGAGAATAAATGCGAGACGTTTCTATGCTGACAAATCGGCCAGTATAACGATGCACATTTTAGAAAAGTTGACCAATGGTACGATTCGAGCGTACACATCATGCCTTTTAGACTCTCGATATCACTAACGTTTGTATGACTTATAAAGACACTCAATATCACTAACGTTTGTATGACTTATAAAGACAAAGGAAGTACCTGCTTAAACGACATATTCCTTAGTTATAATGTGTTTTGACGTGACATCTCAGTTTGGGGCGAAGCGTCTATGCCACATCTACGCTGCATCCTGCGCAATGTAGTTCGCCTCAGCGTCCTTAATCTCTTGATCCAGCTCGGTCCATGACTCATCGAATAACTCTCCAGCAATAATTCGCTTGGCCATTTCGAGTTTGGGTTCTTTGTGCTTGGGATTATTGCACAGATCAATTGTCTTGGCCGTAGCCTTGGTATCGTCGCTGCACCATGATTCGCACCATAGCCACTCTTGTGGCAAAGAGAAGATAGGGATCTGGTCCTGCACATAGTTAGGAAGATCCTGGTCGAGATTTGCCAGTGAGTTGGGGTCGGCACTCAGCTGGCTGTAGATTGCACGCAGCATGTCACCAGCCGCCATTTGTCGGAAAAGTGCCAGGTCAACCACGTATAGAGCACTAATATGGTACGGCTTCCCACGCAAATGGTCCTTCCAGTAACCTTGTCGCCAGAACTGAAAGCCAACGTTACGAGAGTCACAAAATGGCGTGTAGCCATACGGCTTTCCTTCCAGGTCGAGTTCCCACAGTTCTTTTAAGTCTGCACGCACGACTTGATCCGCATCAACGTAAATAACTTTTTGCACACCCAATGGGAACAACACGTCCAGAAAGAGAATTTTATAGCCCCAGATTATGCGCTGTTTTTCAGTTTGTGGACGCAGCCAGTTGGGCCATTTGTACGTGATGAGGCGAATGTCCATGCCAAGCTGTTCGCGCAGTGCAGGAATTGATTTTTTAAAATCAGGTGACAAGAAATTTTCCAACAGCCAAAACGTTACTGGATTGTTGGTTCGCTTAAGTACACTCGACATCATAATTTTGACAAACCGTTCATAAAGGTAGCCAGACGCCACCGAAAAGACATGGATGGTTTCGCCTGTACGTTGTTTTGTCTGCACAAGATGACTTTTCCCAGAAAAAGAGTTAAGTGGATCGTGCACCACCTTTTTCAATGTCTCATCGTGTTTGCCCATGACGTTGAGAAGCGAATCCCAATACGAACGGAGAGCGCCATCGTTTTTATCGGATGGTTCCGCATCTGACTCTGCCGAAGATCGATCCTCTGAAAGCGCTTTTTCAACTGGCTGGAGCAGTTCTTCGTTTTCCATTCCAGTTTTCTTACGAACAAACAATTGAGAAATGTGTGAACCAAAGTCGTGAACTATGATGGGATGGGTTTCTAGCGGAAGGTTTGTATACGGATCAATGATATCGAAAATTTCGGCGGCTCTACCCCTCGCCAAATGTAAAGACCACACTCCAGGCGTGGCCTGAAGCTGAAAGTAGCCCAAATTTTGCATTACAAGTGTGTCACGGTGCAGAAGTTGAGCACCAACTTCCCGCTCAAGCACCAACTGGAGGCCATTTGGAGGTGCATACATGTTAAAAGTCGTATCACGACACTGGCCATAAACAAGCAAGCTTTCCAGTTGAAACACAGCACGTGTCGTTGACCTCACTGCTGTGGAAGTATCCGGATCCACGCGTAAATTGTCCAGATCATCGCCCGCTTGAAAGGTTTGTACATTCCAGGCCTCAGGAGTGTCAATTTTCATCGTCAAGATTGGGTGCACAGGCAACTTGCGGAACTCAACACTTGTTGCAGACAGAGTTGGCTTTTTATCAAAGAGGTATCGATAAAATCGTTGCAGTGGAAATTTTGTGTACTCGTCAGCCGGAATCAACACCAACTCGATAGTTGCGTTTAGCTGTGAGTGAAGCATGCGAAGCATAGAACTCATGATTTGTGCAGCCTCCGACAATGGATCAACGTAAGCAGCAACCTGAAGCGACCGGTCGCCCGACAGGCGAATCGTGTTGAGGGAATCTTCGGGTAGATTTATACGGGATGTTCGATCAGTTTTGACGTACTTGTCAACAATACCAGTGGTTCTCATGATACTAAAGCTCAAACGGTCAGCTTCTTTAATCTTCAGCATAGCACTGCGCTCAATAAGCGCCTTTGCCACTGGTTGAGTGCGATATTTTAGATCAAAATTCAGTATAGTCGCGACATCCTCGTCAGACAGCAACTGAGGCGGAAGATTCACTTGTTTTCCATTTAGAAACAGATGAGGTAAAGCAATTTTTGATGAACCATCTCCTTCGTATGTAGGTGGAAATCGCGAACGCAATAGCGTGCTGAACTCTGTAAGCCTGCGACGTCGCTTGGTTGTCAACCAATCACCTTGCTTCCTGCTCAGAAGAGCTGCCACTTTTCCAAACACCGGGTCCTTCTCATTCTCTTCCCTTGGTGTCTTCGCCCATAAAAGTTTAAGCTTTCCTCTCATCGTGTCGATAGACTTTTGTTTAACAATGCAGTTCAAAGCCTCCAATACAAACCTTAAACAAGCTTCCTTGTCCGTATCGCCCATGATGGCAATGATGCCTGCAACGAGTTCATTTGCCCCTTCGCTCTTCGCATTACCATTTAACTGAGCAACAAGCCCAACGCGTAGCGACCTATTCGAGTCTTCAAGGACAGCCTTTACAACTCTGTAAGCATAATCAGCATTTTGTGGGTCATTGAGGTCCACTGGAAAGATCACAGTTTGTTTCTTTGGCACAGCTCGAGAGCTAGGTGCATGCAGATACGTTAAAGAGCTTCGCGCTAAAGTCTCCAAGCGACCGTCGACATCATCAGCAAAAAGATGGTGGGGTGATTCAGCACCAATATCACCCGGTTCGTCTTCCGAAGTTTCAAAAATCGACAAGTACGCAGGATAGGCATCCTGCGCGCTCAAGAGTTCCTCGATAAGATCCATTTCACCATCAAGCTTGCCTTGATGGGCCATGTTCACGTACAGTGGTTGATCACGACCAAAGTTGGCCATCATCGACTTCTGAATATCTAAGTCCTTATGAATGACACCATTGAAGACGAAAGAATCTAGTGGCAAATGTTTTAAGTGAATATACTCTGTCATTTCCAGCACTTCGTCATCAAATTGGTTGCTTTGTAGACACGCTAATGCTTCTTCTTCGCCGTCTTCAACCGTTCCAAGCACTCCAGCTGCTTCAGCGTACACTTCAACCAAGCGTTCAACTAAAACGTTAGGGCTTGCGTCTTCACCGACCCGGCTAATGAAGCCCGATGCAACTTGAGTGGAAACAATCTGGTCCTCTTCTGTTTCTGTCCTTTCGTCTTCATCACTTATGACATTTTTGATTTGCACATCATTGCTTTCAGTCTCAGCTCGATCCTTTGACTGAGCTAACATTAATAACTTTGCAAAATGCCACGCAGTAGCCTTGTCTGTTCCCTTATAAGTCTTATACTGCTCCACTGATGCTTGGCGCTCGTCAGATGTTTGACTCATAAGCTCTTTTGACGAAACAAGGAGTGCCCACTGAACAGGGGCGCCACGCAACCGCATAAGGCTAATATGAGACAGTGCAGCACGGCCAGCACCTGTCAGTGGGTCCATCACAAGGACGCATTCGTACATGTTTTTACGAACAAAAATAAGACTCCACGATGGACGTCGAAGCATATTAATATCGGACGGCCAGTTCGAAGAGATGGAATCCGTCTCAATATTATTAAGGTAAAGAGGCGTCGATCCACTCAAAGGCCCGCGCACGTGAATACGCTTCACCGACTTCTCTAGGTTTGTTTCGCGCGCATGCGTCAGCATACCTTCAAGTTCCGTCTGATTTAAAGGCAATCCGTCAAGCTGCTTAGCCACAGACCATTCTTTCTTAAGCGTCTTCATGAAATCAAACACATTAAACGAGCGTTCCGTCGGGTCAATAGCAATACCATTTACTATAAATTTGTTCATCAGTCTTCTCGTCATCGATTGCACCCGCGTAGCTGCAATTTCTTCGCGAAGTTCAGCAGAGATTGTCTTGCGCGAAAAGGCCAGCTTTTTTGCTTGGACCGGAAAGTCTTGCGAAAGACTCTCAAGCCTTTTGAGTGGATTCTTAGCATCCATAATCGCACGGACTGCACTTGTTCCTAAATTTTTCAAATGCCATGCCTTAAGCTCCTGATCCTGTTCATCATGAAACTTGTTGACCAACTTGTCATAAAACTGCTTCAAAGCTTTCGAAATTGCACTATGACGAGCTATCAAAGGCTTGAACAGAAATCCATCGATCTCTTCATCGTCAATTTCTTCATCGTCGTCGTCTTCATCGTTCACATCACCAGCAACAAAATCACCATTGTTAGACGTTTTAGAGTCATCGATTGTCTTATACTCCATATTTTTAATATCCAAAGCCACGCCATATCCTTGCAGCAGCGTCTTCAAGTGCGAGTCGTGGGGATAATGACGTACTATATACTGGAACTTATTTTCTTTTGCTTCAATAACAAGTCTTGAGTGAAAAACATGGAACTTTGATGTGCCCACAAGACCATAGAGAATTGCCGTCATGGATGTTTTCTCAGGATTAATAGCAACGTACGGGTACTTGTGATCCACCTGCAACTCGACATCATTAATTCCAGCAGCAACACACTGATCACTCATGGGCTGCTTCTTGCCATGTATGACAGCGTCCAACTCGTCCACAGAGCAAGCTACCGCTTTTACACAATGGGGCTCATGGTAAAATACCGCCCAAGTATCAGCATGCTCGCCACACGGACGGATGCCAGAATCTAGGCCTAATTGCCGAAACATCTCCACCTTGACCGAGTACGTACGTGTCGCCAGCATCAACTCCAAAACCTTCACGAGGTACACAAACAATAACAGCTAAATCAACAATCATTTTTACACACAAAAAATTATCTCTCTACATTTTGAAGTCCGGGCGCGATGATTTCGGCCACAGTCAATGCAAGATCGCCTAAGGCGTCCACATCACTGCCCATAAATTCCACATAATGCGTGCGGTTTCCCAATTCTTCCAAATATTGCCAAAAGTACAGCGGATTTTCCTCCGCCAAGAATTCACTGCAGAATGATGGCATTTAAAAGAAAAGGAAATAGGAATATTTTCAACCTGTCTCGTACCTGGTTTCTATGAGTGGGAAGGACGGAGAGCTGGGCCAACTGGCCGTCAGATTAACATGCACGCTACGTGCGGACGATGAAGAGGGCTGCATGGCTGCAAGAAATGCTGCCAGGCCCGCGCTCAGCCACATCGTTAGCTGCAATGTCTTCTCTTTCAGTGACTGTTAGGATATCCACGTGGACGATAGACTCCTAGTTGTGTAAAACCTTTCAAACTGCATAAGCTACTGCGCCAATTGGTGTATCTATTGTATAGCGACTTTACAAAACCTGCACGGTGTCTGCACGCTCTTTTCTCCACCAGCAGCGCACTGCATCTACCATGATCAACCCGAACGCGCACCGCAAGATGACACCAAAAGGGCAGATGAGCTCCAGTGGCATGGGGCCCGCCATCATGCACCTGCCAACGCACCTGAAAGTTCTTTTTGAGCCCAACCCACCATTAGATCATCTACCACGTTTAGTTAAGCGCAAGATGCCGCCGTATACGGGGCTTGCAGGTTTTCTAGATGTGTTCGAAACAGAAACGCCCCCGCCACGTGCCGTAATGGAGACGCCCAAGGAGCGTCAAGAGCGCCGGCGTCAGGAGAAAATGCTAGCCAATGATGCTAAGGTTCAGGAAGACCGAGCCAAATGGGATCCGAACGCTGAGGACCCGCGAAAGACGCAGGATGCGTATAAAACGCTTTTTGTAGGACGCATCAGCTACGAGACTACAGAGCAGCAGCTGCGTCACGAGTTCGAGCAGTACGGATCAATCAAGAGCGTTCGACTCGTGGAAGACGCAGAAGGCAAGTCGCGCGGCTATGGATTTATTGAATACGAAAAGGAAGCAGACTTAAAGGCTGCGTACAAGTATGCGGACGGCAAGAAGATTGACGGACGTCGCGTGGTAGTGGATGTTGAACGCGGTCGTACGGTAAGGGATTGGCTGCCTAGAAAGTTTGGTGGTGGCATTGGTGAGACTCGCAAAGGAGGAGCGGATGTCAACGTCAAATACTCGGGAAGAGAGGCTATCGGACATTTCCAAGTCGGCGCAGTGCGTGATGAAGGAGCTTCGAGGGGTGGTCGTGAGCCTCTACGTGATCGAAGTCGCAGTCGGGGACGTGCTGCCGCTGGGAGAGAGCGAAATCGATCAAGGTCGAGGTCGCGGGAACGTCGACGAGATCGTGGCCATGACCGCAATCGTGATCAAGATCGTGGTCGAGTACGTGATCGCAGTCGTGATCGCGACCGTCGAAACCGAAGAGACTCTCGTGATTACTCGCGTAGATACTGATTGATGCGTCGCAATAGGTGGGCAACATTCTCGTAGGTATAGCTGCAGTTCAGCATGCGTGCTGTCATCAACTGAGGTACGAGGTTTAGTGTTATTGCGCGATTCCTTACCAGTACTTTGGCTATATATTTATCTTAAACGCTCCGTGGTTAAGGTACGTAGAACAGGTGAGCGAGATAGTTACGTGCACCTCCTGTTTAGATATTTTTCATTTCACATATCAGATTAATTTATGACTGAAATGCCTTCGGAAAATTGCAAAACAAATAATTGGTTGGCTAGTTAGCACGCTGAGTATTATCTAAATATCATATCAACAAATAATAAAACAGATGAATACCGTATGCAAGATAAAAATTAGCCTTTCTTTCATGTTGATCAACCCTCGGACCCGGTGGCGTGGGTCAAGTGGGCAATGCTTCTGGGCCTAACGGTGTGTGGCGTGGGTTCGAGCCCCTCAGCGGACAAAATCGTAATCGAACCAGACATGCAAGAATGTCGGCTGCATGCAAAATATTACCGACAACAGCCAATAAGGACTTTGGGATGGCGACTCGTACATGAAAAATCAAGAACTAAAATCAAGAAAAATACCCCAGCGGAATGAAGCAATGTAACAACTTAGTCAGGGTCGAGTAGGTATAGCCGTGTAATAAAAGAATGCATAGCAACTTTCAAGGGATCAACCCTCGAAGTCAGAAATTTCAAACTTGGCGAATTACGCAATAAATTAGTCTAAGGTGTAACGGACAGAAGTTCTGAGCATGGCTCGCGGTCTGAACGTGGAGTGGCACGTAATCCACTGAGCGCTTCTCAAGTATCGGAGCAGTCGCTGTATGCCATGCATGGCATGGTCGGCCAAAGGCCGAGGCATCGAGAGCGAGGCTCCAGTGATGCCCATGAAGTAGCACGTAATCTACTCACGTTTCGGACCAGTCGCTGCATGCCACGAGTGGATCGGACGAGGTCCTAGGCATCTTGGGCAAGGCCCTCCAGATGCGCGAGGAGTAGCACGTTGTTCACTGGACGAAGACTGCGGAACCAGCAGCTCTTCGTCGGATGTTATATATCAACATCAGGGCTCCGGTAATAAGGAAGTAGGGCTGACACTGGGCGACGCTAAATGCGTGCTCAAACTAGTCCCGCCAAGACGTACAATCTCTGTGAAGCGGTGCCAGCGACGCCGTATGCTAGCTGCAAGACGCCGGGCGTCGACCCTGACCCAGGATGTGTAAACCGTAGACGATAGCACACAGCTTTACACCCTCTCCAGCGGTATGTCGGGGTGGAAGACGGCGGCGTCTCCATCGAGGCTATTTCTGTGGTGGCACTTACGAGATGTCCTTCGAAAAGCTCGGCTCTGCCTTGAAGACAGGCGACATAGCCAAACTGATTGGGTGCTGAGCGCACAAAGTGGATCTTCGATCCTAAGGAATCCCTCGGATCTGTACTATCCTTTGATAAAAGAACTTGAAGACGTCGTCTCCAAAGACTTATCATCGATCCTACCTCCGGGCCGAGGGAGAGGTGTGAGTTATGAGATCAACCTGGTTCCGGGAACCAGATAGTGACTGGTGATGCCTCAAAAATTGTCGAATTCGTTAGCAACATTTTTCGTCTTGTAGCGCAATTGTCAGACCCCAACGAGTATATGTACAGACATACTTTGATGGCATCTTCGTCCACAGTCGTACGGCGCATAAGAGGGCGGATGAAGAAAATCAC